TCCAAACTTCACAGAACAAATCCCCTTAATAAAAGGCTTTGTCTATCAAACTTGGACTCAGTCAAAAGGCTTCACCCAAGGACCTAGAAGGCCACAGGTTCCCCACACATGGGCTAACCCATCCAGGTCAAAATGAATGAATGAATGGATTGATTGATATACAAACAAATGAATGAATATATAAATAAAATGAATCATTAATTAGTTAAAGTTCACATACCCCAGGCTAAGAAACCCCGGAGAGAAAAACCTGGAAAGACATGAATTGATTCATAGTAGAGTGAACAGAACCAGGATAACATTGTACACGGTAACAGCAATATTGTTTGATAAAGAATTGTGAATGATTTAGTTGTTTTCAGCAACACAATGATTCAAGACAATTCCAAAGGACATACTATCTGCCTCCAGAGAAAGAGCTGATACTGTCTGACTACAGACCAAGGCATGCTATTTTTCACTTTTTTCTTTTACTTTTTTCCCCTTGTATTTGAGTCTTCTTGTACAAAATGACTAAAATGGAAATATTTTACATAGTTGCACATGTATAATCTATATCTGACTGCTTACCAACTCAAGGAGGGGGGAGGGAAGGGAAGTAGAGAGAGAATTTGGAACTCAAACTTTACATAAAAATATTAAAGATTGGGCAGAAAAAAAAAAGACCCTGCAGAAGAATTCCATCTATAACATCCCCGGACAAGTAACAATCCAACCATGGCTTGAAGACCTCTAGTGAGGAGGAACACAGTTGTTAGAATATAAGTTGATTCAGTTCAATACGACAAACATACATTAAGTGCTTTTGTGTATCAGGCACCGTGCTAGGGGATAAAAAGACAAATTAGAGACAGTCCCTTTCCCCACAAAGCTTACATTTCTCTGGGTATAAGACACAGTGAGTAGGAGTCATAGACACAAGATGGTTTGAGAAGAGACTGAAAACTAACAACAAAGTTAAAGGATGGTGTGAGAGAGGCTGCATGGGCCCTGAGCTGAGTTTAAAGGAAGCTAGAAGGCCCAGGTAAGAAGAGCTAACTCAACATCAGTTTTAGGAGGAACAGAACTTTGTCTAAAACTTTCTAACTAAGGTGTGCTCAAGATGTTAATATGAGAAAGAGTACCCACTTAGGAAGTGGTGACTTTAAGGAAAACTCATCATGAAAGCATATGAGGCATCTCCTTAGCTACTCTGTAGTTCAGGTCTCTAATGACATCAATCTAGTAAGGATTTCTCTTTCCATCATCTCTGGGTAGAGTTCCTCCTTCATCGCCAGCATAAGGCTATTTGCTACCACCACCACTAATGCTACTACCACCACCACCACCACAACTACTACCACCACTACTATTTCAATCACCAGCACCACCACTACTACCATAGCTACTACCACTACTACTACTACCACCACCACCACTATTACAACTACCACGACCAATATCACTATGTTAACCATCACTACTACTGCCACCACCTCCATCAAAGGAAGGAGGTAACCTTGGTTGATGCTAGAGCCAGAATACTTCCTCAAAAAGAGTTCCAGTTTTGAGGCCAGGAGACTAGGGTTTGAATAATGGTTTTGCTATTTACTACTTCTGTAGTTTTGGGTAAGTCACTTCCTTTCTCTGTGCCTGTTTCCTCATCTATAAAACGAGATAATAACCCTGGTACTACCTCTTACAAAATTGCAGTGCAGAAAATATATAGTTACCATGTAAATTTGTTAACATTATCATATTCATTTGAAAGATGAGATTACAGGGCAGCTAGGTGGTGCAGTGGATTGAGCACCAGCCCTGAAGTCAAGAGGACCCAAGTTCAAATCCGGCCTCAGACCAAACACTTGACACTTACTAGCTGTGTGACCTTGGGCAACTCACTTAACCCCAATTGCCTAAAAAGTAAAAAAAGAAAAAAAGAAAGATGAGGTTACTTAAATTCAAGATGGGAAAGTGACTTTCCCAAGGTCACACAGAAAGTCAGAACTGGAGTTAGGTTTAGAATCCAGGTTTCTTGACTCCTTTTCTAGAGTTTATTATTTGTCATCATAACCATCCTCTTACATGAACCCACCATAAATAATCGTGTGGTTTTCTTGTGTAATATCCACAGAACAGGCTCAGACATGTGTGTGGGGAGGAGGGAATAAAGGGATTATGCTTATGAGTCCAGCCTCAAAGGTTAGGAGCTGGTTTCAGTGGAAAATGTTGAGGGCTTGGGCAATATAAGAGGGCTCAAACTGAACAGGAAGGAGATTTGTGGAGAAAATAGCTTCTTGCCAGGAGAATCTATGAATTATTCTTCTCTGGACCTTGAGTAGAACTGAGAGACCTACTTTATACCCGGTATGGAAAAGTCCCTCCTTTTCCAACTTTCCAGCATAAAAGGGGCAGAGAGAGAATCAAATCAATGAGCCCCAAAACCAATGGGAATCAAAGAGTGAAGATGTTGGGTGCTGGGACAAGATGTCAGTAGCATATGCAATTTGCTTGTGGAGTCATACTGCTTTGGGAGCAACCAGCAGAAACACATGGGTACTTGCACTTCCCAAGCAGACTGGACACTGACCATCTGGGAGGTTTTGAGCAAAAGTGGACATTTGGCAGCTGCCCATGGGAGAGTTGGAAGAGTAACAGCTTCAGATGTTTTGGCCTGGGACAGAGGGATAGCTATCTCACATGAAGTATATCAATATAAAGTGTATCACTTGGGCTGGGCAGGAGAGGAGAATTCCAACACTGCATTCATTGATGCTATTTGTTTTTACTCATTTCTAATATTCTGGTTATGATTTTTATATGATGAACTTTGTAAGTGACTCCATCACTGAGGTGCGCCACCAATGGTGGGATGAAGAGGAAGAGTTTTTCTAATAAGACTATGTCTGCCCCAGGATCTGATTGGGTAATTAATCCACATGCACAAACTCTAGACCAAGTAGAAGATTGATGCCATTGGGAAGGGTGGTGACGGTAAAAGCTTACCAATGTAAGCTTAATCTGCATTAATAACTTTTTCCCCATCACTTTCTCTAGTCTTGACAATCAACAAAACAATCAAACAAGCCCTGATTTGTAGCGTTTGCTGATTTCCAAGGTGTAAATGCTCACTCTGAGTATTTGATAATCAGTTCCCAAGAGCCAGTCTGAGCTGCCTCCAGCATTCCACTTCAACACCACCCATAAAGAGGCAAAACCAAAGATTGAGTCAGCTAGCTTTTAGAGCCAGAGAGGAGAGAACTTGCTGTTAGCCTAGAGTCACTTTTGGTGGCTTATTTGGAGAACGAGCCCTTAATGGGCAGTACATTGTCATTATTGAACAGTGTGAAGCCTTTTCTTCACTAAGAATTATGCTGAACGAACCACGGAATCCTAGAATCTCTGAGCTCAAAAGGACCTTGAGGGCAAGAGTTTCCTGTGCATCCTCCCTGCTAGGGAATGATTTTGTGACAGTTTGTCAGGTAGTGTGAGACCCCCATTTTACTATTAGGGGAAGGCAATAGTAAGTACCCTTTGAGGTCCATTTATCTCAATTTCCCTTTTCCCTCTTTTAATGCATTCTAGAGAGAACACAACTTGGTCCAAGGGACAAGTTAATTGTCAAGTACTGCTAGAAATTCCAATTTACCCTTTTAATGCCTCCCATTTACATTGGGAATTTCTGGAGCATTGTTTAGTAGGAAAAGCTCTAGAACTAGAGTTAGAAAATCTGTGTTCAGTTTCTGACTCTGGCCTTTATGAGCTATGTAATCTTAGTCAAGTCACTTTCTTTCTTTGGACCTGAGTTTTCCCTTTTGTTAAATAGTGGAATTAGATCAGATAATTTCCAAGATTTCTTCCAATTCTGATGTTCCACATTCTAGGCTCTCTGAAGGATCTTGCTACCTACAATTGTTCGGAGGTGCTCTTATGTTGCGAGATGCATGTTTGTTGCTTAAATTTCCTGGAAGATTATCTTAATTCTTCCCATTTGCTTTGCCTATGGAGATCTGGTCATTAAAATAACCCAGGAGAAATTTTTTGAAACTGTTCTTCATGGGTGAATTAACAGGGGTTTTGATCCAGAAGTTTGGGGTCAGTATTGTGGCATTTGGAGGAGTAACATTCAGACTTTGAACATGCCATGAGACATCACACTTATGCTTTTCCGAAGGAGAAGGGAGAAGTCAAGACTTGGGGTCAAGACTCACTGAGACTCCCAAAACATGCCCTGAAGATTAGTGAACCTGGCTCTAGATGGCAGTTTAAGTTAAATCAAGTCAACAAATATTTATTAAGTGTCTTCTACATGCTGAGCATACAAATGAAAGACGATACTTTCTCATGTTCCAGTTTGGAGGTAAGAATATGATGAGGTTAAGGAGAATACCAAATGGCCCTAGGAAAAGTCACTGAAAGATATTACTTTCAGCTAGGGTGTGTCAAGGAAGTCTTCATAGATCAGGGGTAGCTGAGGAGGGCTTTAAAAGAAGGAAAGGATTTCATCAAGCAACAACGGAAAGAAGTCATTCCAGGGATGGAAGACACACTAATGCACAAAGTTCAGAGTAGGCTTTTCCTCCCCAATCAGTCAGTCAATCAATAAACATTTAATAGGTACCTACTATGTTCCAGGCACTGTGCTAAGTGCAAGGCTTTTGTGTAACTGCAATATCTCTTTCACTCATTCCCTCCTTTCTATTCTTATTGTTACCACCTTAGCTCAAACATGACTTTCTAAGCTAAAAAGTGTAAAATAATCAACTAATCAATCAACAAGCATTTATTAGGCACTTCCTATCTTCCACATACTGTGCTAGGTGCTGTGGATGCTAAGACACAAATGATAAATCATCCCCATGGCTGGAAAGATGGTTGAAGCCAGACTACGGTAGCTTAAGAGTTTAACATTTTTCCCCTTAGTTTTTTATTCATTTATTTATTTTTAGTTCCCAACATTCATTTTTATAAGATTTTGAGTTCTAAATTTTCTCCCTTTCTCCCCTTCCCCCTCCCCAAGACAGCATGCAATCTGATATAGGCTATACATGTACAATCATACTAAACATATTTTCACATCAGTCATAACATTTTTTAGAAGTAATAGGGAAAGCATTGAATGTTTTTGAGCAGGGGGTTAATATGGTCAGACCATATCAGTAAGAATTGTTTTTTGTTTTTCTAGCAGCTATGTAAAGATTAGGCTGAAGATGGGGAGAGCAGTTAGGAGACTTATAATCGACCCAGTAAGGAGTGATAGATGGAGACCTTGAACTAGGGTGGTGGTAGTAGAAGTGGAGAGGAGAGTGTGGACAAAAGAGATATTTCAGAGGTAGAATCAATAAAAACCTCCCTTGGGGCTCTGCCCCTACCAGCTCCAATTATGGCTGAGAGTCAGGTGACCTCAGCTCTAGTTCTGGCGCCATTGCTAATTCCTTACGTCCTCTTGGAGAACAACCACCCTGGGTCTAATTTTTCTCACCTGTGAAATGAGGCTAATGATCTTTCCCTGACTATCTCCCAGGATAGTTGTAAAAGCTAAAACCGAGAGAAGGGTTACAAAAGCACGTCCTAAGGAGAAAGAGTGGGGCCAAGCAGAGTGAATGCTCTGCTGGGGTCGCTAGAAATGACTCTGCCCTCTTAGAAATGGAGTGAAATGGAAAAATGCATGAGGGGAGCACGGTTGTAGTCCCTACTTTGTCTCTTAGTAGCTATGTGACCTTGGGAAAATTAGTCCCTTTTTTTTAGACCTCAGTCCAAAATCCGTATCTGTCAGATGTGGTTAATATTTTGCCTATTAACCTCCAAGGGTTGTTTTGGGGAGCCCTATGGGATAATGGAAACCTTGCAAATCATGAAATGACATGTCATCACAGTATCCTAGAATTTTAGAACATGAGCCACATGGCGGGTTTGTTGACAACCTTTTTGTTTTGCACATGGGGGTAGGCAAAAATAAAAGGAGATGATGGTCATGCTGTCTTCTGTCCTGGTCAGACCACATCTAAAGTATTATATTCAGTTTAGGATGGACAGTTAAGGAAGAACTTTAACAAGCTATCAGGCGATGGAGACGGTGAAGGCTTCCAAGTTCACACTATATGAGGACAAATTGAAAGAACTAGGTACAGTTAGCCTAGAGAAAAGAAGATTCAGATCCTGGGATCCTGGGGTGGGAAACATCACAATTCTTTTCAAGTACATGGTCTGTTCCATGGAAATAAGATGGGATTTGCTCTCTTTGTCCCGGAGGGCCAAATGGAACAATGGGTGGAGGTGGAAAATAGCCTACCTTAGGCTTCATGTAAGGAAAATCTGCAATGAGAACTTTACAAAAGTGGAGTGAACTGTGTCACATAGTAGTGAATTCCCTGTCACTGGAGGTCTGCAAGCAAAAACTGAGTGATCCTCTGTTATACAGCCCAGGGAATTCTTGTTCTAGTTTAGGTTGAAGTAGATTGGCCTCTGTGGTTGTCTCCAACTCAGTCTGTAAATTCTATGAAACTGTGTCTCAGAGAAAGGAAATGACTTTCCCCAGATCACATAACTATTCAGTGGCAGAAGCAGGGTTAGTTTTTGTCCACACCCTCCTCTCCACTTCTACTACTAAGTGTTTTTATTTTTTACTCTGAGCCCAGGGCTCTTTCCACTTTTGCCCATAAAATGTGAGGTATTGTCATCCCTTTCCTTGTCCCTATAACCCTTTAGCCTCTATACCAAATCCCCCTAATCTCTAAAGATGGACCAGGAAAGCCACCCATCGACTTTCAGCCATTGGCCCAAACCACAGAGAAGATAGCTGTATATGCACAGGGATATCCAGTGCCATCCATCTTTGGATGCCACAAGCCAGTCCAAGAGGGAGGCAGCCACAGACCTGCAGAAAATCACAGCAGAAGGATTTTCCTAACAGATTCGGGCCAAGCAATTTGCTGCAAAGACAGTTCTGCCCTGAGTAAACTAGCAGCAAGGCCCTGCACTCCCAACCACCCGATGCTGGTAGCTGCAGCCAGGAAGGCTTTTTAAAAACTCAATAACCTTTCCCTTCAGGTGTCACACAGTGCTTTCTTTTGTAGAAAGTAGGAAAGATAGGTAGATAGATAGATAGATAGATAGATGATAGATGGAGAGATAGATAGATAGATAGAACCATGTATCTCTCTATAGGGTTGCTGCAAATATATATATATTAGTATATATGTTTATCATGTAATGTTGTGTTACATAGCTATTTGTATTTACGTCTTACCTCCCTTACTAGTGAGCTCCATGACGATGATAACCAGGAATTTTCCCACCTGAGGCATAGGCATGGCGGGGATTGTAGTGGGCACAAAAGTCAGTTCAAAAGAAGATTCTGTTAAACTGGAAGAGGGAATGTTCTCCTGCCCCTAACATTCATAGGTTTGGGGGAGAAGATGGACCTTAGAAGAGGATCACTACAGTGACAATGCCCCAGGGAGCAGGGGGCAGGTGGTCTGAAGGCAGATGTGAAGGCCAGTGTGGGATTTTGAGGTAAAGTATAGGGGTAGCGACCAGCACAAGGATGAAGCATAGCCTTCCAGATGTCAGCATGCAGGGCCAAAGCTCTACTTGTACCCTGCTAGTTTCATACCTGGCAAGAACCTAAGCTTTATGCCTCCCCCAGTAGTGAACACAGAGCTCTAGACACAGTTGGTGCTTAATAGATGGCTATTGAGTTAAGTTGATTGGAGTCTAATTGAGAAGCCCCTAGGAGGGTAGAATGTGTCTCTAACTCATTGGGTAGTTCCTGAGAGAGGGTTTGGAAATACATCTATATAACTCCAGAACAATATTCTTCTAGTCACCCAGATGTTTTATCTCCAAGATGTCCCAAACCCAGATGTTTCCTAGTTCCCAGATCCATGGTGCTGAGTAAATACAACCTTGGACTCCCCAGGGAACAGGTTTGAGTGGGTTCTTTAAGAATGAACAGTTTTCTATATATGTTTTGTATTGATCTATATATGTTTATATTGTCACCCTCATTTGAATGTAAGCTCCCTAAGGGCAGATCCACTTTGATTTTGACTGGCATACAGTTGGTGCTCAATAAATGCAGCCAAACTGATGAATCCATTGATTGGCTAAAACATCAGAGCCTACTCCCGAACAGAGGGAAGGCAAAGCAGGTCAACACAGCCAAGGCTACCGCCCACCGGCTGGCAGTTACAACAGCCACTCCGTTGATATTGCACAGGGTATTGTTACAACACTGTGATGTCACATGCAACACACCAATAGTTGTGTTGGAGGGCTCACAGGTGGAGGAGCATTTCTGGATGATGTTTTCAAACTTGTGGGTATCTAGAAAAAGAAGAAAACCCAAGAAACATTTTAGAAAACCTTCACCATTAACATTGAACTCCAGCTCATTCAAAGTTGAAATAAGACACAGTGCCTATTCCCATGAAGTTTCCAATCCAATAAAGAAAAATGACATACATGCAGATGACTATAAAACATGAAAACCAACTGAGGTATATTGGAGAAGGCTTCCTGGAGGAGGTGGTGTTTCCACTGAAAATTTTTTTTAATTAATTTTTTTATAAGGGTTAATGGGAATCCAACTAGCAAAGAGGAAAGGTGGAAGACATTCTAGGTATAGGGAAGTGAGTGCACATGTATACCAAGCTGCAGGTAAGAGGACTCAGCACACAGTAAGGGGCAAAATGTTGTTCATTTTGGCGGAAATCTACAGTGCTTAGAAGGAGTAATATGAAATAAAGCTGGAAAGATCAGTTACAGTTGTGGAGAACCTCCAACAACAAGGAAAGGAATTTGAATTCTATTCAGTTAGATGATAAAAAGGAGGTATTGGAGGTGAGGAAGGGTGAGTGGGTGAGTGGATGGATGGATGGATGGATGGATAGATAGATAGATAGATCAATAGATATAGATAGAGCTCTCTTTCTCTCTCTCTCTCTCCACACACACACACACACACACACACACATATGTATGTATGTACAGGGTTGCTGCAAATATGTATGTGTGTGTACATATATACATACACATAATGTAAAATGTCTCATTTGTGGGAGGGAGGGAAAGCTGAGTCAGGAAAGTCTATTAAGAGACCAATTCAAAAGGCCAAGCTACCGAAGGCTATATAAAGTGCAATGGTGGGAAGCTGGCCCAGCTGTGAGCTCACTGACATGACATAGGCTCACATTAACAGAGTCTTTCTCACGGAGCCCTCATGAGGGAGAGAGGCCTCATTACCTAATGTGAATTCAAGGAAACATGGCCTCCTGGTAAGGGCTGTGGTCCAGGAATCACAAAACTCAGCTGTTAGCCCTGCCCCTGACAAAGACTAATTCTGTCACTTTGTTCTAGACTTGATGTCTCTAAGGCCTCAGTTTCCTCATCTGTAAAATGGAGCTAATAAGTACCTTACCCTGCCTAATTCATGGGGTGCTCATGCTTGGTATATTGCATACTCTAAATTAGCACTTCTCAAACTTTTTGGTCTCAGGACCCTTTTATACTTTTAAAAATTATTGAGGATTCCAGAAAGCCCTTGTTTATGGGCCACATCTATCAAGATTGACATTAATTATTAAAACCAGTCACTTAAAATTTCTTTTTAGTTCATTTAAAAATAGCAACAATAAACCTATTACATGTCAACATCATTTTTATGAAAAATAACTATATTTTCTAAAACAAGTAAATCAATGAGAGTAGCATTATTTTACATATTTTTGCAAACCTGTTTAATGTCAGTTTAATAGAAGACAGCTACATTCTCATATTTGTTTCAGTATCACTCTGTTGTTACATGTTATTTTGGTTAAAGTTTGTAGAGAATCGGACCTCATATTGATCTAGAGTTGGGAGAGGGAAGAGTATTTCAATAGGCAAATTACGTCTTAGTATCTTTATAAAAATAGTTTCCACCTTGAGGAAGGGTCTTAGGGACACCCCCCCCCGTGTCTGTGGACCATACTTTGAGACCTAAATAAACATCTGTTAAATATGAAAGCATGTTGAAAAGAGAAAACTTTTGGTGCCCTAATTCTCTTGATATCTACATGTTGCATTTTTTTTTATTTCTTTTGTTAAACATTTCCCAATCTAAATATGTTTAACATGATTGTACATGTATCACCTATATCAGATTGCTTCCTGTCTTGTGGAGGGGAGAGGGGAGGTAGAAATTTGGAGCTTAAAATTTTACAAAAATGGATGTTGAAAATTATCTTCACATGTAATTGGGGGGAAAAAATGAAATATTATTAAGGAAAAAAATTCCCAATCTGCATGGAGAATTGAGATTTGGGTATTCTTGCCTCTCCTCTGGTCAGTGTACCCTTGCTATCCTGGCCTCTTGCTCAGGTTTGGAGGCACTGGACACCACACTTTAGGAAAGACATGGACTACCTGGGAGGATGTGGACCAGAATGAAGGAGGGAGGCAGGAAGGGAAGGAAATAGGCATTTATTAGGCACCTACTAGGTGCCAGGCACTGTACTAGGCAGGTTACAACATTAATCTCATTTGATTCTCACAACATTTCTGGGAGGTAGGGGTAATTATGATCCTCACTTAACAGCTGAGGAAACTGAGGCAGGCTGAAGATAAGTGACTTGCCTAGGGTCTCATAGCAAGGAAATGTTTGAAGTTGGACTAGGTCTGCCAGTTAGACTAAAGAAGAAAAGACAGGATGGGGAGGTTAGGGGTGAACATTTCTAGTTGCCTTATTCTAAAGGGCTGTGATGCTACTGAAGGGAGAACGCATTTTGTTTGCTTCTTTTGGCTTTTGTACTAGATATTTGGACTCTGGCTGCCTAGACATGTAGAGGGGCTACTTGCTTTGGAAGAAGCCCTACTTTCTACCCTATCTGGTATGCCAAATACTTATAGTTTCTGAGATTACAATTTTAGCTTCTCAAAATATTTTGGAGACATCCTGTTTTCCAGAACTAAGGTCCAGCAAGCAGGCCCTATGGCCAGCACCCATGAGAAAGTCCTAGCACCAGCCGCTCTAGCCCCTAGGCAGTGCCCTCAACTGCACCCTCCAAAGACCAGTCAGTCAGTGTTTCCAAGGCGGCCCTAGCCCTTGGCAAGTCCTGCCCAGCTGGTACCTGGGAGGGTCCAGGTGCCCCTGGCAGCACCTAGCATGGCAGTACTAGGTGGGGGAGCCAGCCAGCTTCTGCCCTTGGCAAGCCTACCCTTCTCTGTTCTGGTTGCAGAAACTTATTAGCCGTCTAATCTTAGCCAAGTTATCTCTTTTTCCCCCAGTTTGTGCTTTGTAATTATTATTATTTGTTTAATTGAATGTAATTGTTCTATGCCTAATAACTCTAAAGTGATTTTAAAAATACCAAAGATAATAAGATCAACGATTTTTAACTGTTATAATTTGGATATTCAATTGATGTCACCTGAAGTTTATTGTTTGTGTTATTACTGTATTTCTAAATTGTATTGTATTTCTAAATTTATATTGTGAAATTTGAGAGACCATTCTAAACTAGAAATGCTGTTAGACAAAACTTCGCTTTTAGCCTGGATGCTATTAATTAGGTTATGAATTGGGCTTTTAAAAGGATGTGATAAAAATTGGATACCTGAAAACTGTTAAATATTTAATGAGGTATATTAAATTATAAAACAGGTACAACTACTACTACTACCAATAATAATAATAATAATAATATTTACTATAATAGCAAATTTTCATTTGAAAATCTTGGCTATTATGAAAGTTAAAGATGTAGCTTCAACATATTAATGATAAGTCAAACATCCTGTTTGTTGCATGTCTGAAGTCAGGATATGGGTGGTTTTAATTTATAAATAAAGTATTAATAAAAAGTGTTAACTGTTAAGGAAACATCAGGAAAGATATTCAAGCCCTAAGTGGTGTTCAGTAAATTTTGCTATTTAAGGTAAAAATTTCTGGGACTGTAATTTACTGTTGTTTTGAGACAGGAATAGTCATCTGAATTGTCATGAAGCCAGTAGAAGAAATGACATGTAAGCAGGGAACTGCTTACAGGTGGATGTCTGTACCTGGGAAAGGCTTTAGGGATGACCTTGGACACGGCCTAGGTAGGATCCCCCCACTCTATTTCTCCATTGTGCTATTTCCTTTCTGAAAAGATAAATTCCCCACCTGATTAATTCTAAGCCTTGCCTTTAACACCCTGTGACTAAATGATTGGCTGTCAGATATGATCATGCCTGGAATCAAAGAGAGCTAAGGGAATTTTCCTCTGTTATGATATATGATATTGTTATAACTATGTCCCTCCTTTTCATTTTATTGCAAATTTCTATAATCAAGAAGTTTTGTAAGTATTATACTAAATTTATTAAATAATAGATTGATACTGGAACATCTCTGAGTTACTGTAATAAGAATGCAAGTATGAACATCTTACAATTTTAACCGTTATTTGTGGTTAAATTATAATATATGGATCATATCCTCAAAGGGAAAAATGATTAGACAAAATAATAAGACAATGGAGTAATGTGAAAGTTTTCTAATTAAATAGAATAGTAAATTTTGAAAAAGCAACAGGATTAAACTGTTTTCTCTAAGTATTATATAAATATGTATATGACTGGTTTCCAAAATTTATCTATCATAAAAATTCAGGCTTTGAGTTCTAGTAATAAGTTTTAGTAATAAGTTTTTGACATTGGATGAAGGTTTTATTAATTAAGGATTAATTGAATTTTACACATAAATTATATTGATAATAGTAAAGAAAGTGAAATTATTTCCCCACTTTTTAAAGTATCTGTATGATAATCTTAAAGGACAGAAGAATTAATTTTCAGTTAGATCCTCATAAAGGATCTCCCACTTACAGTCTATATTTTTCTGCACTCTAAGGTGGTAGAGTCCAACCCAAATGGAAACAGATCTCTGCAGGCCACATATTGGCTTAGAAAATCACAAATCAACGTTATCTATATTGCGTTGTATTGTTTAATTTATTTTGTTAACCATTTCTCCATTACATTTTAGTCTGGTTTGGGCAACACTGGGGAGTTTTGCTAGCCTTTTGCTACCCTGAGTTTGCCACCTCCGTAATGTTAGAGACACTCTGATATTCTACATTTTTCTGTGCTCGGAGGTCCGTCCAGGCTTCCACTTTCTATTTTATGTTGAGCCAGTGGTATCAAGTAATGCGGGGTAAAATCTCATTTACTTTTTTCTTCTTTTTGCCTCATATAAAATTGGGTCAAATACTATACAAATGTAAAGGATCATTGAGAAAACTGTATGGCCTTGTGGAAAGAGCGCGAAATCTGAGGTTAAATACTGGCATCAACTCCAGGGTCTA